TGAATTTTGTACTGGATCTGACAAGTATAGTTCTTAATAACTTGTTATGAGATTCTGAGTTTAAAAATTATCTGACCCATCTAAAATTTCCTCATGGCTGTAAAAGGGGGATAATCTTACCTACCATAATGAATTGTAGAGAAGACTAAATATAACAATGCATACATACAGGCACATAGTAGGAGCTCAATAAATGGTAGTTTTTACTACCTGGTTAAAGTTCTCCTGCACTGGTCTCTCAGAGTCCCTATTCAGGCTCTTCCTAACCCAAGACTAGCAGATTTACTTCCAATATTGGCTGTTCCAAAGGTTCTGTATTGGAATTAGGGTGCTGAATACTGGACTGAAGGTTCTTTATTAGCATTAATGAGATAGTACTATGTCACTGAAAGATGTACATTTTAAAATAGTTTTCCTTCAACCTTATAATTCTCTTTGGTTATCACCTCAACCCATGGTAGTTGAATCTAATCTTCATAAATGTAGGTAACAATAATATGCAGAAAAAAAGGGTACAGAGCACTAAGGAGAAGAATAGCAAACTCTCTTCATGTCTTTACTTGTGCCTTGGGAAAATGAACCACATCCTACCCAGAAAACTGTTCCCAGGAGCCTTCTGCAATCAGTCATGTAGTGAGCAGTTTCCGAAGAGGCAGCTCTGCAGGTGTGTAAACACCTAGTAGAGTAAAATGTGTATTCCCATCCTCCCCAAATACATAACAGAAGAGGGTAATTATGGGCAGGTGGGAGAGAAAAGGCAAATAGTTGGTTTATAAACCCCTTTAACCTACTTCTCTTCCTTAAAGTTGATAGGGCGAGTAGTTGATAAGAAAATGTAGGCAGCAAATGTACACTTCTTTATCAAGTATTCTTTCCTTAACAACAGTCAATCTCACTTCTTTATTACTCTATCCTATTATATTGAAAGTTATTGATCAACTTCTATTGGAAATGGAGGCTTACTTGCATTCTCAAAATCGCCAGTCTCTCCACCCTCCTTAAGTCTCTCCTTCTATGGATAATAAAATACAAAATTCTCCTGATTCTCTTCTGTATCTCTTTTACTGTCTCTTCTGTTTCTTTATGTGATATTTTCTCTCCATAATCTCTCCCTTCTTTTAGGCCACTCTTATGATTTCTATGACTAAATATATATAATCTGAGAATCTTTCTCCCTAACTCCTTTCATGATTGCAAACTCAATAACCATTTCCAATTACTTAAACACCCTGCCTTACCACATATACAAAACAAATATATATCATATCTCCTACTTAACTCCCCACTTCCAACAAAGAATGGATCCCTCTCCAGGTTTCACATCTGTATTAATGACATCATTATTCTCCTAATCATATTTGATGGAACCTAGCATCCTCTTTTTTTCTAAATATATTTAGTTCCTTAACTCTATAAATTCTATTACCTTAATTTCTGTTCCATCCTCCTATTACCACTACTATAATTAAAATTTTTATCATTTTCCATACAGACTACTCCAAAGACCCACTTAATTAATATCATTTCCTATAGGCTTTTTGCTGCTAAATTAATCTTTCTAAAGCACATCCCTGATCATGGTTTCTGGTTGAAAAACATTCAGTAACTTCTCACTGCAGAACAGATTCAACCCAATCTTCTTAGTCAGGAAGGCACACCAGGTTTCAGCCTTCATTTCCCTTTCCCATTTGTCTCCTATTCTCTCATATATACACTACATGCATATATACCCCTGTTTGAGTCAAGTGAACTTTTCTTTGTTCCCATATTCACTACATTTTACCACTTTATATCTTGGAGTTTATAAAAGTCTATCTTAAATATCTAGACTTAGTCTTCTCACCAACTTTCTCCCCATTCTTAAAAGCTAAAGCCAAATACCATTTTCTCTCTGAGGATCCTTCATTTTTTCCCCGATGAATGTTATTTCACTTCCCTCCCTAAAATCTTCTAGCACTTTGTAGTACTTCTGCATCCTTGTCTGTGTGTTCATAATGTACTCTCATTTGAAACTGCTTCACCTTAAAATTCTGAACTCTGAAATATGCCTTTCTATTCTTCTACAACTCCACTGAGCCTGTTTTGGGCTTTGATCTTTCAATAAGCAATAACTGATGATAAACCAGGCATGGTGGCGCATGCCTGTAATCCCAGCAGCTCAGGAAGCTGAAGCTCAAAAAATCTCCAGTTCAAAGCCAGCCTCAGCAAAGTGAGGCTCTAAGCAACTCAGTGAGACCCTGTCTCTAAATAAAATACAAAATAGAGCTGGGGATGGGACTCAGTGATTGTGTGTCCCTGGTACCAAATAAATAAATAACCTAGGATATACAAACTATTCTCCCAGTCTGTTGTTATCTTACATTAATACTTGGTTCTCTTCCCATCTTAAATCCCAATGACAGCATTTTTAAAAAGATATTTCCATCTGGATAATTCATAGGCACATCAAACTGAACATGGCCAAAATTAAGTATCTTCTCCCATAAACTTACTTCTCTAATACTCTGAACTAAATTTCTTGATTCTTTTTTTGGGGGGGGAGGGGGGTACTGGGGATTGAACCCAGAGGCACTTACCACTGAGCCACATCACCAGCCCTTTTTAAAAATTTTATTTGGAGACAGGGCCTTGCTGAGTTACTTAAGGCCTTGCTAAATTGTTGAGGCTAGCTTTGAACTCATAATCCTCCTGTCTCAACCTCCCAAACTGCTAGGATTACAGACATGTGCTACCACATCCGGCCTAAATATCTTGATTCTTCACTCACTGTACACATTTAATTATTCACTAAGACATACTGACTTCATCCCTACAGCTATGTATGTTTCATCTCTAAATTTTTGCTAGTAAAAGTGTAATCACTATTTAACTGTGCCTCTGCCTCCTCTTGTTCTTCCTTCCAATTCTTCTATTACAGTATTTAAATAATGTTCCCTAAAAGCATTGATCTGAAAGTGCCATAGAGTCCTACCTAAAAATCTTCCAGTCTTCCAGACTGCCAGAACACTGGCGTACTTTATATAAGACAATATTCAAACTACTGAGTGGAGCAGTCAGCCCTATTACCTGCCGCTTCTCCATACACAGATCCTAAGTTAGAGGCCCTAAAATACATTTTGTTTTCATGATTTCATAAGAACACTATTCTGTGGCTGTTTATACAGTTGTCACCCAAGTCCAGTTCACCTAGACTTCATCCCCACCTCCCAAAGTTTCCTCCACCATATTTCTACATTACTTTGTTCATGTGGCTGCATAACTGAATTTCCTCCTCCAATTTGTAGACTTTTTGTGAGATACAAGCTTGTTTTATATTTATCTTTATATACATAGTATCTAGCATAATAAAAAGTTTTCAATAAATGTTTTTAAACTAATGAATCTAATTTGAGAATACTTAAAATTAATCTACTCTTGAGTGTTTTGTCAAACAATTTCAAGAAATTTGTAGGAGTTCTGGTTAGGTACTAAATATCTAGGGAAAATGAAATGAAGTGACTCTCAGACAAGTGTACCAGTTCCAGAGCCATGTCAGAATAATAGGACTATGTGGATATACAATCAAGACAGCAGAAAACAGAGTGTGAGGGGCAAGAAGGAGTGAGTAGGGGAAAAAAAAATCCTTAACTGCATCTACAGAAAGGAAACTATCTAGGGTCACAGACCCCAAACTCAAGCCTTGCTCATGACTACTCATTACCGTCACCATCACTGTGCTTTCACTACCCCCATCTTCAATTATACTGACTGATAAATTACCTACTAGGTACCAGACACTAACTAAAAACTGTACTACATATATCAATTGATACTCATGAGACAATCCTACCAGACTGGTGTTAACCATGTTTTAGACACAATGAAACACCTAAAAAATTGATGATAGGTTTCCTAGCTAATACGTTAAAAGACAGCCAGAATGTCTACAAAGGTCAGCTTTTAAAATCCATTCTTTCTGCTCTATTATTCGTTTGCCAGAGGTACACATAAACTGGGGACTGGGTTTACTGCTTTGTATTATTTAGATATATCTGATACTTTTTATTTCTTCCTTTGTGTCTCTTAATAAACCTTCTAGATAATAATCATTTTGTATTTGGTTAATTTATTATATCTATGTATTAGCAAAAAACAAAATTGAGGCATACCAATTTTCAGTTAGCAGGAAGCCAAAAACAAAAATTGATGATCCGGCCCCTTTGACAATTTAATACTCTTGGGTAAGACTTTAATTGCTAGAAGGAGTCATATATTCCATCATACGTTCAAGCAAGTGAACAATGTATTTTTAATGTGGAAATATTTTAATTAATGGCAAAACCTTTTAATTTATATTACAGAAAGATATAAAAAGATTGTGTTTTAAAGTCCAGGTCAGCACATAAAATGAAACCAATTAGAGACAAAATAGTCCTTAAAATTAATGAAATCCTTGAAAATCCCTTAAATTGCTTTTAAAGCATTATGTAATATAGTTATCAGCCCTCAAAAAATTCATCTCAGAATATCTTTTCCTTCTGCACAGAACAGATCACAATTTTTTTCTGCTGCATACCATGTGAAGCATTTGGCTGATATTCAGGGGCATACTGAATGAAAAAGCTGACATTAACATACTGGAGTCATATTCAACACTGTGAGATACATAGATGCTATAAGCTTCTGTAACAGTATATGAGAACTGATTCCACCCACGAGAACACCACATTCATTTCTTCTATATCATGCATGTTAGGCATATATGTTCATTGTGAAATGAGAGCTACAATCTAAATATTACTTGTATTATTCAGTGTTTTACTTTTTGGTGTTTCAGTACTAGTTTTGATTTATAGCTTGAGCCCAATGATTTCAATAAATTATATTCTCACAAAGGTGACTCTGATGTCTTCTTCTTGTTTACTGTACAACCACTGATGCTTACAATTTTAGATGTAAAAAAGAATCTAAGATAATAATAGTGTGTCATTTAAAAACAAAAACAAAATAAACTGTCTTACCTTCGTCTATTGATGCTTCACTACTATATCCATCATACTCTGCAGATAAAGGACTGTATTTTTGTCTTGTTTCCCAAGCGTAGTTCTTTTGTCTAGAATCTACCAACTGTAGTCTAGAATTATGTGTTCTGGATAAGGCCTCATGATATTTACCCAGTGCTTCATCTTCACTTTCAGAGGATGAACCATGCTCATCTTTGTCCATGTAGGAATTATCTATTTGGAATGACAGGAAGAGGAAATGATCATTTAAACGCAATAAAACATCATAAATTTCCTAAAGTTTTACATCCATATGTATGTGACACACATATACATCTCAGCATATAGATGAAATCAATTAAGAGATAATCCTTGAAATTATTGAAATCCTTGAAAATCCCTTAAACTGTCCTTTAAAGCATAGTGTTTTATAGGTGCATACACAAACATACATACACACACCCTGAATCCCTGAATTTTCAGCTTTAGAGAAATATAATTTTTCATGTAAGACATCTAAGCTTTAGATTTTTATGTTTTAATGGAAAAAAATCAATTTGTGTATTCTAATTCTTTAAATAATCTTAGTCCCAGGAATTTTTCAATCTTGAGACATATAAAGGAAATTACAAACCTTTTAAAAGGATCAGTAACAAACAAATGAAGTTATGGTTGCTGTCAATATATATAGATCTGATTCAAATAGTTAATAAGATACATTTTTTATTTTCATTTTGGACAATAATTTCAAAACTGGCAATGCTCAGTACTACCAGTGAAACAGAAATGGGCAGATATAATTATTGGTGAAATTATAACTGGTACAATTTTTTTTTTTTGGTACTGGGGATTGAACTCAGAGGCACTCAACCACTGAGCCATATTCCCAGCCCTTTTTTGTATTTTATTTAGAGACAGGATCTCACTGAGTTGCTTAGCACCCTGCTATTGCTGAGGCTGGCTTTGAATTAGAGATCCTCCTGCCTCAGCCTCCCAAGGCACTGGGATTCTAGAGAACAAGTTGGCAAAACATATCTAATTCTTAAATCTGCCAAGTGTCTTTGATTCATTTCTAGGAATTTGCCAAGTCCATTTCTGAGAATTCAGCCAAAGAAAACTGACAGGTGAACAAAGATATATGTTTGAGACAAGTCACAGCATTATGTTTAATAGCAGAAGAAAAACAAAATAATATATAACCAAAATGTCCATCACTGGGCCTTGGTTAATAACTTATAATGTGTTTATACAATGACATATTTACTATACAGTCTTAGAAGTAAAGTGGTAAATTTATAAGTACTCACAGACAATAATTAGAATATCATGTTAAGAGAAAAGAAGAAGTTACATCATACAAGGTATGGTTATATTCCTATCATATCACACACACACACACACACACACACACACACACACACAGATGCACATACATTCTATATACTCCTTCATGCAATACATGTACACAGACATTCAATCTATACTAAACTGCTAAGATTTATTATCTGTGAAAAGTGGTATTACTAGAAAATTTTTACTTAAATATACCTAAATTTCAAACAAAATTTTCAAGAGATATAAATTTATGTTATTTTTAAAATCACCTGCAGCAGTTAGAATAGTTCATGATTTCATAAAACGTATTACTCATTGTGTAGCCAACAGTCTCATGTGACTATTTAAATTTAAATTAGTTAAAATTAAACAAATTTAAAAATCCCAGTTTCTATACTGTCAGCCACATTTCAAGGGCTCATAGCCACATATAGCTAGTGGGTAATATAAGGAATAATGCCAACATACAGAACTTTACCACTGAAAGTTCCACTGAACAGTGCCAAGAAGATGGCAGAGCTGGTCTAGAACCATAGCCTTCTGACTGTTCACAATTGTGGGCACTCTGAAGATACCACAGTGGTGGGTTTAAGGCAGCAGGAGGACTGAAGCCCTGTGAAGGCACCTACTGTGTAATCAAACTTCATCTATTATAAAATGCTACTTGAAGTAGCCTTATATTCAGAAGTAAAAAAGGAAACGCTTCCTCTTTATTCTGTATCTTATAACTCCTATGCCAAGACCTAAAACACAGGTATTAGTAATACTATAGTGTGGCTAAAGATAGGATTAATCTGTGGGTCAAAATACTCTCAAAATGATTTTTGGAATACAACATGTTTAAGTTTAGTACTAACTATACTCAGGAAGACTCGAGGGATATTTGGTTTCTTTAGGTAACAACATGCTTTCTAATGAAAACAAAGCAAAACAAAATAAAAACCTTGTTTTTCTATGTGTAATAGATTCATTACTGATGTTTATCATATTGTTATTTTCTGAATAAAATATTATGTAAAATATTTTACTTTGTTTATTTTATTTATTTTTGCTACTTTGAATAATAAGGCTACTAAACCAGAATTGCCAAAAACTACTGAATCTCACATTCAAAAACTACTATAAGAATAGACTGTTATTTTATAAGAAAGTTAATTTACAGAAAATTCCAGATGTATATTTTATAAAAATCAGTGTATTTTTAGTCTTGTGATTAGACCCGCAATAAATGGAAATGACAAAGGATTAACAGAAGCATATTGCAGTTAGTACAGTATAAACTGCAATGACGTTTTGAAAATTTCACAAATACTATGGTGGAAAACTACAAATGTTTACACAGAATTTTAATTCAATATAAAGAACTTATGAATAATAATTTATTGTTCATGTATACTCATTCTGAACTAAGTAGTCATAAAATTTTTAAAGTATGGCTAAATGAATAAATACATATCCTTAAGCATGTTATTCAATAAAATAAGATCTGCTCTCAAGGAAAAATAGAAAACATTTTATTTAAATTCTTACTAGGGCAGATTTGAAGAACAATGCTGTATAAAGGACTTATGAGTTAAACATTTAAAATTTTAAAATACAAGTAGAGGATACCAAATAAACTGACTAAAGTATACACTTTCCTGAAGAAAACCACGGAGTTTCTGGTTGTAAAACAAATGGCCATTAAGAAAAGTTAGGGGGCAGGGGATATAGTTCACATACAAGGGCCTGGGTTCAATCCCTAGAAAAAAAGAAAATAAGGAAAAAAATAGCTGGGTGCTTACAATCTCAGCAATTCAGGAGGCTGAGACAAGAGGAACCAAGATCAAGGCTAGTCTAGGCAACTTAGGGAGAAACTGTCTCAAAATAAAAAATAAAAAGCACTGGGGATGTGTCTCAGTGATGGGAGTGCCACTGGATTCAATGTCAGTATCAAGGGGAGAAAATATGGCCAAATGATGTAGGAATCAGCAGCCATACTTTGTGGTATACCAGTAACACAAAGGCTCCTGAAATGATTCTTTTTAAAAAAGACTTTTAAATATTTCCCAGTAAGAAGATTCAAGAAATTTTTTAATTAGATACACAGGCACAGACAGGAAAGTTAGGAAATTTGGATATTGTTTTCCTAATCAAAAACAAAAACTCAGGAGGAAATTTAATCACTCAAACCAACATTAGGAGACCTCACCTTTTTCTGGTACTATCTTAGAATATTTTTCAACTTTACTCTTTGCTGTTCCTTTCTTGGAAGAATTGGCTTCATTTTTCTTTGTTTTAATGTCTCCTTTCATTTTGTGGTATTTTGTTAGGTTTATTTGTTGATTGATTTTTCCAGAAAACTTATTTTTAGAATTAGTTGATGATGCTGGATACATATCTTCTTTCATAATAGGTTTCTGTCTATTGCTTGTCAAAATATCTTTTGGAGAACATTCATTCCCTTTGAATTCTTTACCTTTAATATGTTTTTCAGCTTCCTCTGAATGATCAGAATGCCCTAAATCAATAAGATGTTCACTTTTATTGAAATGGCCGATTTTCTCTTGATCTCGTCCCAAAAACGCATACTGAGATTTAGCATATTCTCTTTTATGATTATCTGTAACAATATGTTTCTTTTTTTCAGACAGCATGCTTATTCCATTGGTGGTATTCTCATTTTCTTTCATTTCTTGAGATCTTACCTCCCTTAAATCATTCTTACCATCATTGGAGATTCCTAATCCAATTTTTTTACATCTGTCAATACTTTCAAGCCCATGACAAGTAGATCCAGCTTTTGTATTCTGCTTCATAACTGAGATCCCATCATTTTTCATGTAGCCTTTCAAAGAAGAATCACTACCATTACCAGTTTCTTGATACTCTGATAGAATCTGTAGCCTATCATTAGTGTGTTTAAATGATCTTTCTTCATGCATTCCTTGCTCTTGAGAAGCAAAAGTATTATTACAATTTATTTCCTTTGCTCTGTGCTCTAAATTGGACTGTGTTTTCTGACAAGCAGTGTTGTTGGAGACTTCTGGTAACATGGTATTTTTTGACTCAGAAGTATTCACAGTTTCTTCTGTGGCAGAAATTTCCTCTTCAGGGCGAAAGCCATTTATCATACTTGTTACCTGCTCAGCAACTGAGTCAGTTAAAGCATAGCTGACCTCCCCAACAGCAGTGGTCAAGTCTTCTACAGCACTACTGATTGTGTCCACCAGGGAGGACACTCCCCGCAGATTTTGTTGAAAATTTTTGAAAAATGCCATTTTCTAATTCTTTGTTCCTAAAAGGTACAACAATGGAATTTTCTCTTCTCAAATTATCAACTACTTTGGAACTTGGATTAATACTTAAATGTTGCTACTCCTTAGCTCAATTAGTATTTCATACAGTGCCTTTTAATTTTTCTGTAAATTCATAAAGCATTGGTAGAAATATGTTGAAGTAAAGACTCTTCAAAAACAAATCAAACCACTTGGTTTAAATGTAATGACATTTTTTTCCCACTCCATAGCTATCACAACAGCAGCAAGATAATATTTTCCCCTCAAACACTATTGGTTTTTATCCTATACCTGAAAGAAGAATATAAAAAGGATTTTTATTATGTACTTTCAGTTTATTTATTAATAGTCTACATAAGGGAACTATCCTATTAACAAACTACCAACATCATTTCAAATAAAAAATATTATGGGGAAAATACATTGACAATTTTGCACAGAGGTAAGAATGAGAGAGCAGGTGCAGATATCTGTTGAGTGGCACATGCAAAGTATTATAACTTGAAAATTTTATCTTATTTGATTTTATAACAACCCTATCTGATAAATATTCTTCCTATTTAATAAATAAAAGAAAAAAACAGGACTCAGAAAAATTAAGAAAGTCCCTGACACCTCAGCTCCTCAAGGTCAAACTTGTTATATTAACAGTAAGGGAATATTTAACTTTTCTACTCTAATTTGCTTACAGGTTCACAGTAGGGTTTTCCAGAGACTATATAACAGATTGAATGTAGAAGCAGATACCAGAATTCAGCTGTCTCCCATTATGCCAGTTATAATAAATTTCTTTGTTTTGCAAGAAAATGTAAAAATTAAAAAAAAAATTCTCACTCTTTTTTTCTAAACTTTTCTTTTAGGTTTTGGAAAATACATATTTTTTTAAATATTAAGAATGTTATTTAAATTACATGCAATAGCCTTTTAGTTTTTTTAATTGACAAGATATATTTTTAAACTTTGTAAGTTTTAACTTCTAATATGGCCCACATTAATATATATAACCCACATAAATAAAAGCTCTTCAGGGTCCTTAATAATTTTTATGGGGATAAAGAGGGTTTATTTGACCAAAGAAAAATCAGAAATGCTGAACAAGAGAATGAACAACAGACACTAAAAGAAATATCTTTAACCAATTCATTCATACAAATGATCAAAAAGCAGGACTGAGCTAGGCTTGGTAGTGCTTGCCTGTCACCAGGCAACTTAGCAGGCTGAGGCAGGAGGACTGCAAATTTAAGGCCAGCCTTAGCAACTTAATGAGGCCCTGTCTTAAAACAAAAGATAAAGAGAGAGAGGAATGTAGCCCAGTAGTAAAGTACCCCTGGGGTTCATCATCAGTACCAAAAAAAAAAAAAAAAAAAAAGCAGGAAGTATAAGAAACACTGAAATTAACCGAGTCAAAACCACATGAAGTATGACCATTTCTAACACAAAATTCACAAACTATAATTTAATAATTAATAGACTTTTGTAAGTAGGGATTATCACCACTTAAGTTATCAAAGTTAAAAAAAAAAAGCATGTTTCCAACATATGTATACAAACAAGAAAGACAAGGCTTCTCTGCTATTAATCATCAAAGCTATTACTCATCAAAACTTTTTTTTTGGTAATGTGGATTTAAAAACCAGGGACACTTAACCASTGAGCCATATCCCTAGTCCTATTTCACTTTGAGATAGGGTCTTACTAAGTTGCTTAGGGCCTCACTAAGTTTCTGGGGTTGCCTTGAACATGGGATCCTCCTGCCTCAGCTTCCCCACTCCACTCGCTGGGATTATAGTCGTGCACCACCACGACAAGCACTCATGGAAACTCTTCTCAATTAAAAATTTTATCCCTTATCTTTGGAAATTGAAAATTTAAAAATTCTTATTTAATAATGAAGCAAAAGAAAAACCCTGCAAAAAAGCTTTGCAAAAGATAAAGAATAATWTCATAAACTGCCTTCCCCAATACGTAAATATTAAGTAATATAATGCCTATAGTGCCAAGGGAGGGAGTGAACACTGCTTTTTATAATCAGAATTTATCTATACATTAAATTAGTAGGAAAAAATCACCTCCTCCAAGCAATAAAATTATCCAGCAGCTGAAAATTATACTGCAGGTAAAGAAAAAGTGTGACTAGTATCAAAAACTTTCTGGGGGTATGGGGAGAAAGCTCTCTAGAAATCTATGTGACAATGTATTTGAGCTATATAAAGTAATCAGATATCTCTTTCTTCTAAAAGCATATATTATAAATGAAAAATAAAAATGTTATTTTGTGATAGTAGACAATTCATCTTTATGTAATAACTTAGCAATTCATGGCCAAAAGACAGATGTTTGAACATAATTTATTCATTTTTTACAAGGAAGAGGCTCAAATATAAGTTTACTATATGTCAAAGCCAATTTTCTTATTGTATGTATTAAAATAAATAAAGAATACAGATAAAAAGAAAAGAAGTAATATGATACTTACACATTTTGTCTTGTGAATTCTTCCTTGTATTGTATCCTGAACCAAGATCTGGAAACCCGCCAACATTTTCAAAACAGAACTTCTTATTAATATAGAGAAAAAGGAGCAGCATCAAGATAATAAACACCCCAACAGCTGACAAAAATCCAACTGCCTCTGGAGATACTAGAGAAAAAAAAGTCACAGCTGTAAGCATTTATTTTTCTTTAAGCTACAAATAAAAAGGAAACCCTCATACATAAGTTAGATTAGTGCCTTATTTGAACTATATTTTTAAATCATCATAGTTTAAAATAGTTTATTAAAAAAGCCCAAAGTTTAATGACAGCTGTTAAATACAATCAACAGCACTCATTCAAATTTTCTAAAAGTTTCTCTATAAATTATGTCGAAACAATTTTAAAAGAAAAACAAGAGTCTACAAAATAGGCAGTTAGCAAATGTTTAATCCATTGAAGAGTATTACAAAATTTTTAACAAGAATCAATAAAAATTATTTCTTATGTACAAGAATTATCAAATTCATGAGAACATATTATTATTTAAAGTTCCTGCTTCCTTTTCAATATATACTCTAGTCAAAGGGGATCCACAATATTGCCTTAGAATCGGCAATATTAACTACCACACTCCTTGTTTGGTTTAGCCTCTTCCCCTTGCCTTGAATAGCCAACACTTCTCTTTTCCATATCACACTCATTCACTCAACCAACAAATATTTTTGGAGCATCAGCCATACACCATGCATAGTTATTTACACATCTCTCTGCTTTTCTCAAACAATCTGGTGAAAACAATTACAATGCAGCATAATAAAGGTTACAATTGGAGAAGAATAAGAACCCTGAGAACTACATCAGTGTTGAAGGATCAAGTAAGCTTTTCTCAAAGTTGTGACCTCAATGATTATATTTTAAGAACCAATAAGAATTAGTTAACATTTCAGGCAAAAGGAAGAACATGTGTGATGTTCTAGAGACAAGAGATCACTGTATATTCCAGAAACAGAATGAAACTGCTCTGATAACTACCAAGATTCTCAAAAAAATTTGGTCAAAAGAATACATGAAACCACTTGGGGAGATTTTGTAGAGTAAGAACAGATAAAACTCTCCTGCAACTTCTCCAACCCCCAGCCATCTCTCTTTCCTTTCAACTTCACTCCAGTCACTACACGGGTCATTTAGAGCCAAATAGGAACTAAATTTTTGAATCTCTAGTACCTAACAAGTATTAGGAAGGAATGTCAAGTCCCAAATATCCCCTACAAACCACAACCTACTCCTTCTTTCTCCATCACTCAAAAAGTATTCAACATGTTATCTACTCTAAGTCTTCCTAAAAACAGATGTACCATGGCAATCAGCATTTAATTTATTTGTTAACAATGAAGTCATTGACTGGTCAGTGATAAGGGCTTTAATYTCTTAGCCTTTCTTTCTTATTTTTGAAAGCCAGGCATACCAGGAGCAGAACTGAGTAGGGCATTAATCAAAGAGGGGTCAACAGTGTTGTTGTAAAAGACTGAGCAGAAGTGACTCTGCAAGAGAGGGGCAATGAGAGTGAAGGGAAGAGATAATCAGGAATGGTTATACTGCCAGCTGTTTATCAGGTTGTCGCTGAGACACAGGTCATTACTACAACTAAGAAGTCTGACCCAGACATTATCCCTGCCTGCCTTGTTCTCAGCATATTAAGGTATGACATGAAAACAGTGGTGTGCATCAAGCTTGAAGGATGAGGTAAAAAGGAAAATGGATGAATTATCATTAGCATTCCTCATAGCTTCAGAAACAGGACAGAATATGGCATTAAGAGGTAAAAGAATAACTTTGATATTATACTATAAGCAGCAAATACATATAGGAGTTTTCTTCTTAGCCCAGGCCCAAAATACACTCAGAAATATACTGCCCTTAACTAGCCACACAAGATGAGATATTATGCAGCTTGAAAATCTTGCATCCTTCAAAAACTAAATGACAAAACCTTGCTTATATTAATAAAGCAAGTTACTGCTAGTAAAAATAACAAACACATATAGCATACACTATGTGTTGTTCATCATTTTAAGCACTTTACAAATATTAATTCACTTAATCTTCACAAAGATCCTATTAACATCCCCATTATAAACTGAGATACAGAGATATGAAACCACGTGCCCTGCTAGTAAGTGGAGAGTCAGAATTCAAACCCAGTGTGGCTCTGGTGTCTGTTTTCAACTACGACTCATCCTGCCTCTCCTGTTTTTCTTCTCTTGTGTTCTTGTCTTTTCCTATCCCTGACCTCAAACTACATTTCTGTGTTACTCAACCCCCAAATTTCTGTGTTACTCTTTTGTTTTCCTCCCTCCTGTTTTTTTTTTAAATTTCAACCTAGTGTGAAGAATAAACTGTAAACAAGTAAATATAATATAATATAATATAATATAGTAAGGACTATAATAAAGGTACAAGTATAAATTATTACTGGAACACAAAGAAACAACACCATCTGAAAAAGTCACAAAATGACTTAGAAAGGAGATACATTTGATTTTAAAAAAAAGACTAATACAAACTCAATAAATAGTAAAAGGACAGATAACAAAGCATAAAGGCAGAAATAATGGAAATGGCAATTCTATAAGCACTAATGAACAACAATCATGACTGTCTTATTTATGTCTGTGTCCTCAACATACCTAGCACAGCATCACATAGCTGACATACAGACATGTAAATAAATGAATAAATGAATTAGTGAATGAGTATTCAGGAAAGATAAAGAATATATTCTAGGAGTTATGACTGAAAATGAAAGCAAGCTCCAAACTGTTTAAGAACCTTGATTATCATCCTAAAGATTTTATACTTAAGGAACAACATGGTTACAGGTTTGCCTTATAAAACCATATTGATAAAACACTCATAAAACTGGAAAATGATAGGGAACGAATATGGAAAGGTGTGACCAGTTCTTCAACTAAATGGTAGCAACAGTGGCCAAGAAAATAAATGAATTCTAGACCTTGTTTAAGGAAAATTGATAATGACCCAATGAAGCTGAGGAAGCAATAAGGATAACTACAGTTCCCAGTTTGAGTGATGGAGTAAATGGTAATTCCACTAACAAACATAAAAAAAAATTAGAGGAAAGATATATGGTTTAGGGCATGGGGGGAAAGAATGAATTAAAAGAAGAGAGGTAAATTATTAGTTTAGCTTTTAACAAGTTACATTAGAAACATCAACAGAGTATTTCAGAGGAAAATATAAGTATGGTGTCCTGGTTAAGGTCAGCTTAGTTATAAAACATTTGGGATTTTTCCCTTTTGCTCCTCTAATTCCATGTGAAAAACTTCACTCACTAACTAAAGCCAAATCAACAAATGTAGGTAGTGGCCTTTATAAATATTATAAATTTTTAGATTTAAAAAAAAAGCTTTTTCCACTAGTAAAAGGAAAATGTACAATAGCCTGTTGTAAATATACTACTCACACAACTCCCTCTGAAGCTATCACTTGTCAATTTTCCATTCATATAAAATATGTATTTATGATTTTAAATAGTGATACTGCTATAAACAAAAAATTAAATAGCATGTCGAACAGAAAAGATTAAAAATCTTCAAATTTCTATTGTCATCGTCATCTCTGGGCTAAAATAACATTATTTTAAATAACATAATACCGGAAGATGGCCAGTAATAGTTCTGAGTACAAACAGATTTGCTAAATCTCACTTCTATCGCATAGAACTTCGATAGAAGATACAATAAGATCAAAGATGTGAATGCTGCACATTATCAACAAAAAACTAAATTACAATTAGACCTCACTAATTAAAAAAATACATTTTCATTCACTGAAAGATGGAATTTCCCTTAAAATGTTATTTATACTATGAATCTGCTTACAGAGCCATTCTGCATAAGTACTTCTAATATGGTTAATTTGTCTATATATAAACCTTTTCAAGCCTTTTAGATTATCTACTGTAGGCAAGTAAATCTATTTGAAAATGTCCCTCACCTCCTAAGACTGGCCTTTTAAATCTCTATTTATTTATTTATTTTTTTCATTATTTAGAGAATACTTTATTAGTTTCTGTAATCAAACCCACGTAGATAAGACCTTACATATTTAATAGAGTGCGTTACCCCTGTATTAAATCTCTATTTAAAAAGATGCAGTCAATAACTGGTTTAGGTTAATACACATTTGAAGATTAAATTTGATGAGTGTAGTCAATAACTCAAAATTCTTTAGTGTACTTTTCCCTCATAATCCAAACTTGCAAAATTTTAATGTGCTCTACAACAAAACCAAGACAAACTAATAACAACTTTTAATATCTAACACATAAAAAATGCTTATTTTTTATAGGTAACTGTTGCTTTACAAGCATTATCTCATTTAATTCTCACTACAATCCAATTTGATACAGATATCGAAAATGAAAGACTGAGTACAATTTTCAAGATCTTAATATGATTATTCCGTGACAGAATATGGATTTGAATTTGTCAGGCACACTGAGTCCTGAACTCAAACTGTTAACTGTTAATCTCTTTGTTTCACATATGCCAGGTACTCTTATACTCTCTTTCATTTTAAAATATAGTGTTCAAAACAATTTTATGATAGATAAGTATCATCTAAGAATTCAGATTAGTAAGTTGAGGTTCAAAGAGTAATTAACTTGTGCAAGGTCACATAGTAGAACATATAGCTATGAACCCAGACATTCTGACTTCAGAGTCCATGATCTCAAACACCAAGCAATATTGCTCCTTAATGCCAACTTGCATATAAAAAATAAGAGATAGCTATGTGACCAAAGTTACACAGCTTACTACATATATTATGAACAAATATTTTACTGCTTAGCTTTCACCTAGGTTAAAAGATAGCAACTGATTTGACTTTCTCAAAATAAGTATATAAATTATAACTGAAATAATTTTTTTATTAAAGATACTTTTCAAAATATTTTAAAATTAATTTTAGAATAACATTTAAAAATCCAACATTAATAGTACATTCTTATATTATATGCCACATTCTTTGAAAAGTTAAGAATTTTTAAACTGAAGATATTCTATAGAACAATAAGACTGAGAATCATTAATAATGTTCAATAAAGAATATAACTAATATAATTAAACATATGATCCTCTA